TGAATATCGCAATATGTCGGCGCTTCATCGCCGCGTCCGGATATGATTGGGGTACACTGTTCTGTCCCGGATATTACACCGAGCTGTCTCAAATACCTACTATTTCGTATTTGCTCACCTTTATCGATACAGGAATTTCGCATGACTGAAATTTATTTGAAATTAAAATAAATCTATGCATTGACTACATTGGAAAATTTTCGTAATAAGAAAAAAATAATAAAAAACCCAAACTGTCGTGGCACTCTACATTTTTTTATGTAACTGCAATGATAAACAATGTGGTAAGTGGTAACCGTCCCCTAAACACATGAATAGCATCACGTTATCATGTCCGTGATCTCACTAATGCGTTGCCATTCCAGACCATTAAAATGTTATCATATCTCTCCAACATAGTAAGTAGATTTTATTATTTTGTACATTATATGTATCTGACGTAGATATTTTCTGTGACTGAAGTTGTAGTGAATTTTATGTGTCCTTACACTTCAACGTTGTAATAACCACAAATGCAATAGTATGTGTAAAATAAAACCGCATTAATAAATTATCAATTTTATTACTAGTAGTGGGGTTTTGGGCTATTGTCAGGTGCTAAAATCTATTTTGCTAGCACCAACTTGGTACGCGTCAATAAGTAAAATAACTATTTTTTGAGAACCGATTAGTAAGAACAAAATATTACGAGATGTTTGCCAATTAAGTTGTTCCTGAGATTAGCAATCAAAGAGTTCAGCTATTTTTTAACATCTGTAACAAGAGTATTACTTGTAGAATTTTTGTTTTTACGGATATATGTAATATGCATGTTGTTATAGTCCTCCAAACAAGGTTAAAAAATATTGTAAATTATTTGTATAACATTGTAAAATGCGCTCGTCGGAACTATCGATAATTTCTATATTCACAGCTCTCAAACCCAATTGCTACGATCATATCAGAATTTAATTCCGATGGACATAGACTATTCAGAAAATAGATCATATAGTATTATTATTTATATGGTTACTATTATATTACTAACATTGTATCGATGAATTGATTGATTTGTATCGTACAGTCACAGTAAAAAGTGCCTATTAACTTCTATTTGCACAAAATAATAATACGGTTTTAATTCAAACAGTACTGGTAATTATGGTTTCATCGAAAATACTGCGGAATCGTAAGCTGTGTAAGTATACGTGTAATTTAATAACTCGACCTCCATTGAGCGAGCTCTTTTAAATAATTTACATCAAACCGAATTCATTGAATTTGATCTCGTGTGCAACGTGTGAAAAGCAGACAAATTAAGTATATGCACTCGAGTTTAGTTTGTTTGTTGGCCTGAAATTCTTTATAGTAGGTATTTTACATAATGAAAAATTAGAGACAAAGAAGAAATAAATCTAAAATGAATGCATTTATTATAAAACTTGTAGTAAATATGAATATGAATATTTGATACATGAAATATATTTATGTCGTTTTATTAATCTCCTTGATACTTCATTTAGCCAATCAATACAGATAATATTTTATATAAAAAAATTTTACAAGTTACAAAGAAAACTAGAATAATTATACAATGTCTTATAAGTAAACATATTACGGGAAAGGTAGGGACCATTACCTAATTTTATAAAAATTATCGAGAGTTTATACAAAGTCCTCTAACTCGCCTAATTCTGTCGCCAGCTTTTGTAATATGTGTTTCTGTTGAAGGGCAAGAGATGATATTGAAATTATGGGATACGTATGCATGACACCTTAATACCTCAAAATGGCAGAGTGTGAGTGGTACCAAGGACGTGACATGATGATCTCTTTATATACAGCGTCAGTTGCAACTTACTGTCAGATGTTCAACATCTTTGCTATTACTGTTATATTAAAAAAAAATATTATAGATTTTAGAGTATTTTGTTACTTTGTCTCTAAATGATGAAAATAAATTTAAAGAAAAGAATAAATAAATCACTGTAACAGGTAAAATAGAGTTATTAGACGTTCAAAATTTATGAAATATTTCAGCACTGAAATATGTAATGTTCGTTTCTTTAGAGTAATAAATATAATTTTACAAAGAGAAATTAATGTTCTAATAATCGACCTTATTGGACGACACTCAAGATCTTCACATAGAGATGTTAACTCCCCGCACCTGACAATTTAGTGTCGCAATAATAGGTATAATAATGTACATCCTTCATATACTTTATGTTAGTTTTAAGATAAGTCAGTTGAGATAAAGTTACTTAATTCTACGAAATTTTATCATAAACAAGTGCATATCAATGATATATATTGTAAATACATCGTGAAATCTGTGATGATAATTGTGACACAGGCAAGTTAAAATAAAATCTAACTACAAATTAATAAAAAAACACAATCCCATTGGCAGATCACAAAGTAAGACCTTTTTTGTTTGAGAATCGTATAGAGAAAACAAGATGTTGCGGATTTTTTGCAGCACCAGTAGGTACCTATATGTTTAAAAACTACACTAATATCAGTTAAGCCGTTTGAAACTATAAAAGATGACAATCAGTAATGACATATCAGTTTTATGAGGATATGAGGTCAGGCTAATCAATCTGTTAATAAATGTTTATATGACATCTGTTCGGATCTTTAAAGCTAAAGAGTACATTCATTGTTCTCAAACAATTGCCCTTTCTATATTGACAAATCAATACAAATTCATAAAAAACTTCTAATTCTACTGGCAATTCAGGCATGAATAGCATCGAGGGCATTTTGACTATGTCATGTTCATTCATGTAAGCTAACATTACCACTTATTATCATGGGCCGTCAGCTTGTGTCCAATTACATAAAAATTGGTTGTTTTAATTAATAGAATATGGTATTAGATGGACACAATAGTACTTACCATTTTATTCAATTCCGATACCATTAATACTTGCTATATCTCGAACATTGAGAGGACTCACTACCAGTAAAAGGTATGACCTGACTTATTAGTGTTCAATCTTCAACTGTTATTAAGTCCATTTGCGACACGTACTTCGCATCTAATGGGATATATTGACAAGGCAGACAATTGATTGGAACTTGAAAGTCATATATCATACTATAGGTAATATACATCAGGATTGAACTATATTACCTATTATTATTCTTATAGAAATCTTTTTTAATAAAGATGAAAATCGAGTATAAATGTGTAAACCCACTTCAACAGGCGAGTAGACAGCCAGACGATATTGGAGCGTAATCGGAAACCTCTTGAATCTATCTACAGGATTCGTTTATATTTTCATGATGCACCCATAAAAACATTTCGATAATAACATTAAATTGTCAAATATATTTATCATTTGAACAAAATTATTTTATTAATTATTATGGATTCACACGCCACTATTCAACCCGTGTAGTTTTAAACTACACTGGATAAAAATAAAATGAAAATTACAACAAGCCTTTTAATTCAGTATGATATTTTCAATTTTAGTGATAATTATTATTTTATCTGTATGATTGCACAAAATTAAATTAAATTCATCAAACTGGCTGCAACCACAAACGAAACAATACAATGTTGCAGAAATAAACGAATATTTGGAAAAACGATTTCCACTTTCATTAATTGATAGTGACAGACGCCACTTGAAGTGATGAGAGAGGAGAGAGGTATTTCAATACGCCACTCCATTCTCGATGGTGGTGATTTTCGAAGCTTTGGTACAATCATATTAAAATTTATATTGTTTGTTACTTAATTGAGAGGCTACTTCCTTTAAAACATTGCGATATTCGAGTCTATAATTGTATATTAATTTTCAATAAAGGCATGCACAAACGAAAATAAAACGCGGCAAATTAAGAAAAGTGTAAAAAAATAGCTAACAACTTCCTTGGCAACGAAGTCGTACTCTCAAACAAACCCATTTTAATTTCAATAAGAAAAACATTCAATTTTATTGGAACGCGTAAAATTCTTGATATGGTAAACTACTCGGCCATGCCTAGTATTATACCACCTCAAATATCATGAGTTCAATTTAGGCCAACGCCTCTGACTAGCTCATTTAGGATAACAACTGTGAAAGTATATATAGGTTTTCAGCTACCATGATTGATATAAAATTATATCTATTTAGGTATAATTAACTACAAATCGTTTTATTCTTTGCCGTAAACATAAAGATTATATTATACTATCAACAAGTTACAAACAAAAGAAAGAGTAAACCAAAATTATGATAGTATACTATCAACATATATTTTTACCAATTAGTAAGTAATAGCGGTACCAAAAACAAGTAATCGAAAATTGTCGTAAAAATTGTTGTATTGGACCTAACTAGTCTACTACCTATAAAAAAAAATACATAAAAATTTTCAATTTCCATTGAAAAATATTCATTTATTTCATTTATTCGGTGTTTAAACATATGAGTAAGAATGAAGTTTAAACATTATAAACAGTTATTACACATAATAATAGTCAACAATATAATTATAGTCTAGATAAGAATCTTTTGTAAATAGGCAGATTCTAATTTTACATATGTAATAGGTAAGTAAAATCCTTTATAGTAAAATAATTATGTTATTTATTTTCTAAAATGTAATTTTAAACCATCGGGTTACAATGCCTTCATGCCGTTTAATGACGTCAGAAGTAAACCTATTGTAATTTTAACAAATAATAGATCATTGAATATTTTTTTGTCATAAATGACCTTACTCATCGTGCAAGAATGTAAATAAAAGCAATTAGATCACGAGTTAATTTAGATACTATTTGTATTAAATTAATACACAATTTAAAAAATGTTAACTATGTTCTGAAACGGTACATTTTCCACAAGTACTGTAGAATGGTACTATAATAGAAATTAAGGCATATTGAAAATCGCTAAGTTATTTTATAGTGGAACTTAATTATAGTGATAAGAAAAAAGAGGCGAAGGTTTTTCCTAAGTTATACCTATTTGTACATACAATATAGAATAATAAATATCAGAGCACGGACTTACCTTAGAACGAAGACATTCTGGCTGAGAACACTGTTCAAACGATCACAACAGTACTTTCTAAAATTAAATTTCGAATATCGAAGCCTTCGTTGACTCGGCGGCCAATCATGGAAGTGGGCGACGGAATGCGTCTCTTGCGCAGGTAGAGCCACCCGTGTAGGTGAACAGTTGCGTCTGTGTGGAGGCCAGTAATTACTTTGTATAAACACTGTTGCATTTGTGTGAGTAGTTTGTGTATGTATGATGTAGCGAATATGAAGCATGCATGTTTTACAAATTGCTGTGTAACAGGTGTACAATTGAAATTTTAAACATTTTTACTATATACAAGTATATAGGTGATACTAAAACCCTAAATATTTCGTATAATATATTTATAATTGAAATACTATATCACTTGTACAGGTTACATTTCCTCAGAATGGAATAGGAATACAAAAGTACGAATAGGTAAAGTTCTTTTCTACAAAATGCAATTATCATTCAAATCATAAGTGATTGAATAACAAACAATCGTTACAAATTATTTTGATTCCCTCAAAGGATTTTTGTAGCAATTCAGCGCGGAAATATTACGCATTATTGGAACCTTTGGGCTAGTTATTAACAAAATAGTGCATTATTATATATTATAATAAAACTAATATCATAAATGATTGCACTTCGATAACAGTGTTAGCACTACTGGTATTAATAGTTAAGTCATAATTGAACTCGGCACATAACTGGTCAGATTGATTGTGCACATGACTAACAATCTTCACCGTATATTTTTCTCCGTCATAATACAACACATAGAAATGCACATAGAGCACTTCATTGCTTTAAGTATTAGAAAATCGTTTAGCTGAGAATACGAACAATTGTCTGCGTCCAAGAATATATTCCATACAATATAGATAATTTTATTGTACAATCGGATCAAAAAGGTACTTTAAAATATAGTTTGTTTAATGGTGATCTCATACAAAATATTCAATGAATTTATGATAGATAAATATATCGATCAGTTTGGTTATTGTTATATTTTTATAATTATAATAATTAAGGTGGAATGATTCGCGTTTATTTGTACAAATGAAATTTTATAGAATTTGTAACGACTAATAAGCTGACCTCCCTACTAATGGGTAATAAATAAATAGTCCACTATAATATATCTAAACAGAATGACGGACATCATCTTATACCTATATAAAATTCTTTTGTAACAATGTTACCATACTCTTCAAAAATGACTTGATCGATTTTTATGAAATTGTATATGCATATTTAGTAGGTCTGAGAATCGGCTACTATCTATTTTCATACCCCTAAGTTATAAGAGTTGTACACCCCTAACATATTATTTTTATTTTTTGGATTTTTTTTAATTAATTATAATTAGGCAATATAATATACATACATATCTAAGTATATCCCTCAATTTTCATCCTTCTACCATCAACCCCTATTTTTAATAGCAATATTAGTACAGACATTTATATGACAAAACAACGTTTGCCGAGACAGCTAGTATATTATAAACTTGACGCGTACACCTAAAATATCCTACTTGAATAAATGATTCTTGTCTTGATTTAAACATTATCTTTATCATTATAATGAGCTAACGTTTTTGAAGTGGTTATTATTAGGATTATACATTCAAAAGCTCTAATAACGGGCTCTGCTACTCGAATCAATACTCTAATGGACTATTACTATTGTGTAAAAACAATATAGGCATCATAACTAGGACCTTACTGAACACTGCAAATTGACTAAACACATGGTGGAATTAGGCATTAGCTTAACATCAATCTGCAGATATTGAAACAAAAGAGCAAACACCACTACAGGTCTTATATAGTTGTCAGAAGTTAAAAACCATCGCTCTTAAGAATATCCTTCAATTCTTGTCCATCACAGGTAGCTAGCGAACTTTGAAAAAGGGCGAGTACAATAGACCTAGCAGATCGCAATGTCAACAAACAGGTCACATGAGAATAGCCCAAAACCCTCCAATAAAAAAATTTAAAAAAATCCTGAAAAATCTAAGACATTTTCGTGTTAGTATCAAACGGTTACCTCTCAACGAAGTGAGCTAGTATTAGATATACAATTCTATAGGAAAGATATATTACTGATCTGCGCAGACCTTTACAAAAACATTATAAACGAGTACGACGTACGGAAACAAGTGGCACTTCGTCGAAATATTTTATTCGTCAAAATGGACACAGAATTATTTTAAATAACGTAGGTAGGTAGGTACTCGAGTTCATATCAATACACGTAAAATAGTAGTTCACTGTCGCGGTTATTTCGTCTCCAAAGGACAAAAATATTCAGACAGGTAATCTGGTATCTATAAGATAGGATACTCTGACCAGCTTTTATAAAAACTGTCTTTCCAGCCTTCTTAATTATCTAGCGTGACTGGAATCAAGACTGGTTTAAAAAAATGGTTTTTAAGAGCTCCGGCTAAGAGTATTTCATGGTGAATTTTTTCATAAAAAAATAATTATTAATTATTTTATTGAGAAAATTCATTATATAATAAAATTAGTATGCTGCTGATTATATATTCACTAGAAATCTGAAAAAATTATGTTAGGTTTTAGCATTGTAATTAAAAATTAATAATTTACTAACGCACTGTACGGGGGGAAGTGGATTGTTAGTGATGTGGACTGAATAACCTCATTATTACTAATGTACCAAATTAGGTTGAATTTCACGTGATTCCCCATAAAACTATGGTGGTAAATTCCTGATGAATTTACTACGGTGCGCTAACTGGCGCCGGGGCACGCCTATGCTCATCTTATAACCTTCCCTGGATGCCCGCCAACGTAGACTGTTAACGTAGACTGCTGCATTATTGCATTATCTTCAATCACAAAAAAATATTTCCCGAAGTACAGTCGATCCCTATAAGAAATCATTTTATTTCTGAATTCAGATCGATGAAACTTCATATCGATACATATATCGCCTTATCCACTGTATGAAGAATATATTTATGAAGACAGACATTACATTATAGATCAACGGAGGATTTCGTGAAAAAAGAGGATTTTACTATATTTATTTATTGGTAAAGTTTTAATTACTATTAGTATCAAATGATTCTGTCCAACTTATTATATAGGGTTACTTATATTGAGAAATCATAGTCACAACTATTTATTTCATTATTATTTATTAATAATATATGTATAAAACATATATTATATAAAATATATGTGTTGTAATTATTATAATAGACATTAATTATTAATACAATCCTCTATTACAATATAAAGGTATATATAATTCTGTTTTCTAAATGCATCACTTGTCATTGTGCATTAACCCAATACCATAATAATTAAACAGAAACTCGATGTTGAGGTTATATATAAAACTGGGTTTTGCAATCATACATATGAGACCTGGCAGTAACAATATTTATGTGAGGATAACCACTACTGACACTTAGGGAAAAAGAAATTTACATAACTAACCTCAATCATTCACGTTTTATCCAATAATTAGACACTTTATCCATTGAAAATTATATAAAATCAATACACTGGAAAGAATTAGTGGTAATCCAAACCGAGCCATTTGGATGCGTCCTCATCATTTAGTTTTATAACCACATTAACAGTCTACAAAATATCAATTGTTAAACTAATTAATATCAATATATTGACTAAGCCGTTTTAATAAAATAATGCTTTGATAGGCTCAGTCTACAAAATATATGCAGATGAATAATCACAATATGGATTTCCAACATAAATAAAATTATTACATATTTTTTATTCATATAAAAGGTAATATCACTTACGTAAAATATGGAGGCACATTATACTAGCATCTGCTAAGTTGAGTTAATCTAATCGTATACAATAAAAGCGGCAAAATATTGTTTCTTATTAGATTTTTTCCGCTATTTCATTATAAATAATAATATATTTAAATCATTTCTGAGATTACTCTGATATATAATTGGTACATATAAATTCTTAATTATTATTTGTAGAATAAGGTTAGCTTAGTATAGCTAGCCATTAATATATTTAGCAACAATATTATAACCTTTTAACAGAGAGTATGATTGTATGTCTATTATTGTTAATGTGCTACAATATATTATATAATAAGCAAATACTTGTATACTAATTTAATTGGTAACGTAAATAGTGTTCAGTCGTGATATTTCCACTAAATCCTTCAAAAATAAAAATTACAAATATCCAAATCAACATAGAATTCGAAAGGAAACGCCAAAGAAAATTAAAGTGAAAATAATGCTTAAAAGAAACAGTAATAATAATAGCTCAAGACGTAATAATCAACTAGAGCTGATATAAACATAATTATTGTTTTTATATTAACTAAGTGTTTTAATATTTCCGTTTTTTAGATATTAATTTCAATTCAGTTCCATTTACTCAATACCTCAATTACAATTTATCGATGTTTATAAATATTAACTTAATTAAATATTCTAATATCACCGTTTACGTACGGGCTACACAGAATTTTGATAAGTGGTTTTTTTTGGTCACAATTATCTTGGCTCAGTTATAGAATACGGTTTTACTTTTATTCGAAGTAGTATTCCCTAGATAATATTGCCAATGCTACTGATTTCTGTAATTTCAATAGATTTATCACATAAGTTTTATTGTAGAAATTTGAAAATATTGGCATTCAATGGACCCTGCATTATTTATTATATTTTATTTAACTTTCCTCTGGTCAATGTTGTTAAATTATAAAATTATAACGTATAATAAAAAATATTACAAAAACAACAAGTTTATGGTTCGAAACATTTTTGGAGTGTAAAAAGTACAGTTCATAACATTCCGCAAACACTAATTCCGAGAGCTTTCAAACCTATAATATATGCAACAACGAATAAATTTATAGATAATGATAATTTTAATATTAGAACAGAATATCTAATAACAGTATAAAGTAGAATATATTCAATTATTATATAACAAAAAAATAATTTGACATTATGTAAATATGTATATTGTAAGGACATTTTTCAATATATGTAAATATTTATTCTATATTTCGTAGTCTGACTATTAGAAATATCTGTATAAAATTATTGTATTTTCTAAAGTTATAATAATAACTTTAATACCAACATTGTTGTACAACTGTGAATATAAAATTATTTATCTAAATAATTATATACAAGGTGATAAGCTGATTCAACAATCGTAACATTTAATAGTCATAATATCACATTACAATAACCATCTGCCAATTATATAAAAATTCACTATTATTTATGCCTAAATAGCAAACTCGGCAGAATATATATTACATTGAATTTAAAACAGACATGGATATCAAAATATATTTATATAAATATTTGCAAAACTCTAAAAATATATATCACATTTTAATCATCAGTGCAAAAACTTAACAAATGCTCTTGGACCTTGATAAATAATAACTAGGCATGTTTAATTATTCTATCGTATACTAGAATGCAATAAATATGTAAATATGTCAAGCAATTATTTACTTTTACTTTAATCCACTAAAAATATATATAAAATCGATCTCATTTTCTGACTCACACATTTGTGGTACAACAGCTTAGATTAATATTTTATTTTCTTGTTCTGAAACATATTTTTACAACATTTGTAAATATTAAACTACATATTTGGATATCTTTGGAATACGAATGTCTAACATGTGACAGCACTTAAACACAATCTATATTATTATTGTATTTAACAATATAGCATAGACCAAATTAATATGAAAATAAGTACAAAAAATTATATTAAATAGTAAACTAACTAATTATTCTAATAATTTTTGAATAGTAATTTCGATTTAGAAATAACTACTCAAATTTCAATAAATTAGCATTTGACTATCGTAAAAGTATAGCCTCCTCAATTTAAAAAAAAATCATTATTAACGGTGATTACGGAATAATTTAGTTAAATTTATAAACAACTCTATTTTAAGTCGTTTTAAGAATAATTTCATTTGTGAAATAATCTCCAATCATTAATGTGCAAGAAATGCATTTACATACAATTTATTTAATCACCATTGTCAATTTAATAAAAATTGCATAAATTTAATAATAATAAAAAAACTCTTCATATTTTAGAATTAATAATAATAATACTCATTTGTTAAATGTGAGAAACTATTAATTTGGCATAAAATGGCTTGGGTTGTGAAATGGGTTTTCTCCAATTCGGTTATTAAATGTCCATTAAGACCGCTTGTCACGTAACCTTGAAACCTTGTAAAATAGTTATAATAAACCTATTTAAAAAATAAAATTATATTCGATTTGATATCTCATATTTTTTGTATATTAAATACGTATTCATTTGAATTTAGCGATCGCAATCTACAACTATACAATCATATAGTTATTATAATATATAAGCATAATATCAAACTATTTATATAGCGTTCACCACTGCGTTGAGAATTTAAATTAAAAAAAAAATACTTTTTGTATTGTTCAGTTATATAATAACGCAATCATATCTATAATTATTATAAGCATACGACCATGATCTATCCTGAATGTAACACGTTGTCTAATTTTATTTCAGATATAAAATCGTCAGAATTTCAAAAAATTATAGAAACGCTTTATTTTATACTTTAACTATAACTTTTTATATAAATAACAAGGTGCCCCTTAGCGCATATTGTATTTAGCATAAGTATAAAAAAAATTGCATACACCGACCCTCCAATATAATTCAACTTTCAGTTTCTATCAAATGTCCAGATATAAAAATTTCTTTATATTTTTATACATATAAAATTTAAGACACTTCATACATGTATTTTATCAACATGGTATAAACACTGAAAATATTTTACACATTCAAAAAACTTGTTTTGAAATGCATTATTAATAGCAAATAGTATCAATTGCCACTTCTGGTACTAGAAATACTAAATTGTAGTAAATCAAAATTATGTTAATTATTAACTAATAATAAAAGCAATAGACTAAACGGATATATAAACCCGAAAGTTATTTAGCTTATTGACTTATTAACTACTGACATTTGGAAACAATTTGGTTTCGCCTTAAAAGAAAAAATTAAGTAACAAGACAGTCTTCAAATTTAAGAAATATTTAAAAATAATTGTTGACCGTATGTAATTAAGAGTATCTTGGTTTATCATAAATTGAGATTTATGAAAGGAATCAATTATTATAAGTGCCATCAGTGACAAGTACTCAGAATCAAGGTTCAAAGGTCGTATGAAAACTTTAATATTTTCATGTTGTATTGGATGACAATAAACGACAATTCGTATTAAACCCTACACGACGATTGCTAATAACAATAGTCGATAGTTAATGTAAAAAAGGCCGCGCAACCATTGCTAAAATCGTAGAAGTCCAAGCGACAATAACCTAAATTATAAAAGTGCCCAATTAATACAGTAAAACTAAATATGTAAAGCGATTTAATACTAGTAATAAAATGGGTTGCACGACCGGGCAGCATTATCGGATAAACTAGTTTTATTGACATTCTTGGTTTAGTAGCATGTTCACAAAATAAAAACATAAAATAAAAACACTATTAGTACTTGAGATAGTTTGATCAATATCTAAAATTCGCTTATACACTACACGCTTCGCTTATAGTCCATCATAGTTCTGACCAGTCAATAATAAAATAATAAGAAAACTATGTAAAATATAACACATAAATATCCTTGTTATTATACTTTATATCACTTTGGCAATTAATACCTTTTCGTTATTTAAACATGATGGCACGTCTACATTAATTTATAACCCTACATTCTCAGAACATCCAGCAACTGCGTCGCCCTCTGGAGGGGGTGGTAAAGGCGCGTCCTCTTCATAGATCATAACCAATTTGCTATACTCGCGTTTCCTTCGGGGAGCCTGAAATTGAATTATACGGACCTTAGTATTTCATGTTATTTATCACATAATAAGGGTAAGAAATGTATGATATAAGTGTCACAATTACATAACGACAAATAAATAGTATTAGTTTGTAAATTTCTTTAAGAAAAAGCACCGTCGCGCCGCACACGGCACACCCCGCTTTTGGCAGTAACTCGCCGTGCCTCAAACTTTGCAACTAACTCACCCCTCGCTAGTATTCCTCGTGTATACAATAACGAATTTCATGACTTGGACTTGTTTTTTCACACAAAAGGTACATTTAAAAAGCACATTGTTAAATATATAAGTGACAGTTACGCAGCGATAGTCTAGTATCTATAATATAACACTGCATACATTGTATGGACAAATTACCGGCATCAGTGTGTAGTATATATTATATGGAGATGTATAGCTTCCACACTCATTCATTCATTCAATCATTTATTTAATTCATTTTTTTTATGTGTTCAGTTTAATTCGTTGATTTCCTATTTTGTTATTTTGTTTTAGCGCAAGCCAATACTACATACTTTGTGTTAATTAAGTGAAACCTGTAGTAGCTTTAATATTACAACATACGTTAATGTAAATTAAATTGTAACGCTGTTGGTTTCTAATAAATAAATAAAAAAGCATTCTTAATTGGCCTGTGAATATTTCTTTTCTCTAATGATTATGTGATAGTTCAATCATCAGCTTCTTGAAGCCGAATCCTAACATTTCTTGTTTTTCATCACTCATACACAGTAGATAAGTTTTTAAAAACAATTATTAATAATTATGAGACCTTGGTGTTTGAAGTTTCTTCTCCGGAGCTGCTTGAGCTAGTGATGCCTTCTTCGAGTGTAAGTCTCGCTGCGACACCTTGGAGCTGCAGATCCACGTAGAGTTGACTCAGTTGTTCGTTCACTAGCGAAGGCTGTTAAAAAAAATTGTCTTGTATATATCAGATGCAAAATGGACTCCAATGACCGCACTCAGCCTCACGCTTGGGTCTAAAGACCCTAATCTAAAGACTAGTCTTTTCCATGGCTAGGCTCAGCCCAGAAGCGAAGAAACATGTGCTATCTTAATAATATTAGCAGTGTGAGCATCCTAAACATTTCTACACATTAGGAGGCCAGTTACACATGGCTTACTAACACATGGCTTACTGGGAAATGTATGGTAATGGGAGTAATGGGAGTAATGAATGTTAGTACTACGATTACTTACAATATAAAAATAAAGAAAACACAACTTCACGTAAAGAAATAAATAGTGTATTACATATTGACAAATGGTTGTTCAATATGAAGTAATTATTAACGTATATAGTAATAAAAAACCGTAGGAATAACTTGCTCAGTGAAGATTGACAGTCAACTGTTGATAATTTATTGAAATAAATACATATACATTAAGTGTAATTAATGAGTCGTTTGAAAGTTGAAATAATAAATTTTATTGAAGAATCAGATTAAAAGGGAAAACACAATTTAAATTCATTCGGTATATTATTTTCACTTTTGTTTTTTATATTTTATAAAAATCTAAAATGAAAATAATGTACCGTAAATAAACAAATTCTGTAGACTGAGAATAATGTTTCACATCTCGCAGTTATTGAAGCCGTAATTATTTAAAATTTTAGTTAATCTACTATAAAAAACGTTTCAATTCTAAGCTGAAATTCGGGGAAACGATGGTGATTACCATGAGTCCATACAAATTATTTATTCGATACGTGAAATTTTGTTATTGTTGCCATCGTAGTTGATAGTATTAATAAAATCGCGTTACTTTTCTGACGATGTCATTTTATTATTAATAAATGTGATTAACTACGTACCAGACGAAAATCGTAACGAATTTAATTAATTGGCCAGCCGGTTTAGCATTGTTAATTCAAGTATCGACTGATTGCAATCGATAGTCAATAAGTGAATCGAATACATGTTTGAATCTGTAATAAAAGCAGGAAAGGAGTAGGAGTGGGTATTTCAGTTCCGTTACAATCCATCTCTATATGCCGTTTAATACTTAAGACTTAAGTACTTAAGCATTTAGTATCCTTTTCTCTCCATATCATATAACAACATATATTTACTAGCTCATTCTATATATTGTTACACATAAATGTCATATTATATTTAAATTATTTAGGTATTATAATAAAACTTACTATTTTGCTTTCTTTTTAAGTATTTATAAATGTTCCATTGACTATAAAAATTAATCAGCTTTCGGATCAGACGTATTGATACAAACCTGTTCAATATTAATCATTTTTTGTTTATCAGATACAAGAACTTCATTCATGGTCTTTGATAAAACTTGATACTTGTACATCAGATCCGACGTCACACACACCTAAAACATAACACAATAGGACATAAATATTTGAACGACAGATTAGGTAGGTTTTAGTATACAATTATGAAAAAGATACAGCGATGGATAGATACTTCAGTCTCACCTACCGCAGTGTTGTTCATGTATATAGAAGACGGTTACCATTATCCATAAGATGGACGATCAACCTGTTTGCCATCCCATTTACATAAAATAAATATCTATAATATTAAAACCGAGTTTCAAATGTACCTGTTCCAACCACGGCGGTTCCATTTTTCTCTTGGCTACCTTTTTCACTTGGCGTGGCTCGTAGTAGGACGACGTCGCCTCTCCAAAACCATCTTCACCTGGTCGACTTCTGTCCCAAAACTATAGAACAAATTCAATCCAGAATTTATAGTAAATATTGACAACACTAAAATTTGTAACGTTTTCCGGAAGATTTTTAACACACAACGTTCCTACTAATAATTATAAAAGTTCATGTATATAAAATTTTTCATTATTTTATGTATATAAAAACTAGTAGCTGACATGGAGAAGTGGAATATTTGTTATGCTCAATCGATAAGGTCCTGAGGCCAAATAGCGCGTGAGAACTAGTTACATAAATTCATATTAAATCTACAACACTATTATGATCCTATGGTCGTAGTAATGTTATAGATTTAAACGAGAACGTGGTATAAATGATTATATAATTTTTCTTGTTTAGCCTCTCTGAATTACACATACTTTCATGCATACCTCGAATTGGATTTTTAACAGGGTAAATGTATATTACCCTTGACATAAGTCTACACTTCCTCTCTGGGGCCCGCCTACTATTGGCAAGTTCTGATTTATTCCTGTCAAAGTCATTAACTATGTACCAGAAAAACACAAACACATACCCTGATCTTAGGCGTAGTTTTCTTTGCGTCTCCACTCTCTTCCGCGCTTCCCGACTCGGTCTTGAAGAATGACGAATAGAAAGAGGAATAGCTGGACTCTCCGTCCATTCTGTCCACGTTCTCGTCGCTGTTCATCGCCCTGGTACTTTTGGATTTCTCTGACCTAGATACGCTATCACCGGTATCCGGTACCATATCTGTACTCTGTTGACAATTACGTATTTGATATATATTATTTTAAACAATCTACCTATATAAAAACTTTGTTCCCCTTATTACGATAAGTACGAAAAAGAGTATAAAATATCGCGCAGTTAAAATCTATATGGAGGAGTGGAGATAAACTAAATTTAAGATAATACTTAAACAATACATTATATTAATAGAGCAAACACATTTATTCATAGTCGAATTTCGACAACGGGCCACTAGAACCATCTTCAATCTTGTGAGGCTCCATGCTCATATTTCCATGTCCTAGCAAGGTTTCAAATAGTAATCATTCTAGTTATGGCGCCACATCTTCCCAATACTACCGGTTTTACCTTTTTAAGAACATAATCAATCATTACGTGAACATAAAAGTGTAAAGAACATACCCGATTTAATGTGTTTGAAGAAAATATGCTGTCGACATTTCCTTGTGCAATTTTAGAAGATGTCCCTTGGGATTCATTTGGTTTCTTATCCCGCCAGCTGCCCAATTTGCTTGATCTCAAATGCAAGCTGGGTTTACAGGCCTGTGAATTTACGAGGTTATACTAATGTTAACTAATTATTGATAAATGAATGAAACCGATATGCCACAAATTGTATATGAAACAGATATACTCGAAAATACAATGATTTATCCAAGTTTAATCAAATTAAAAATAAATATATCATACAAAGTTTTACGATATATAAATGAACGTTCTTTTACTTTTTTGATATTTTCCAATAACCCAAAAACAAGGAGTACCAGGTCGAAAAAAAAATAAGTATCACTCACCTCTTCATAATTACTAGTTGTAAGTCCTAAGGGGCTCATAGTGCTACTATAATGCATTGACTGCGCCATCATCGTCTGGTGCATTGAGTACGATACGTGGGGTGATATGGGGGAGTACATGAACGGCGATCCGTACACAGTTTGACCGTACATCATACATTGCACTGTGAAATAATCAAAGTCGATTTTAAGTATAACAGTAAAATAACAACATTTGAACATCCGGTCAATAACACCGACAAACGTCGACCCGCCAGGAAGCTCCCGGAAGAAGACCCGTCTTTACAAGTTCTAATTGTTTGTCAGACTATCCAGAAATTCATGGATATGTACTCCAAACTTCTGGAAAGACTTACGGAGTGGCTGGAGGTCAACTCCTGCCTGATGGATACAACTTTATTCTAAAGATACCTGTAGGGACTCGAATCTGGCCATCCCACTGTAATAGAACAACGGATCGATCGAAGGGGTACCTGTTAGCCAATAAGGCCTAATATAAACTGCGTTTCGATACAGAAAAAAAGGGATAAAATTATAAATTTATATACTGATATAGGCATCACTTACTTGCATGAGCTTGATACTGTCCAGCATTTTTGGTGGCGTCTAAATTGGTTGAGCTTGAAGCCATAGGTGAGCCTGGTGGCCCGGGAGCATAATACATCGGGAACATGCCTACAAACAGATTGTCATATGTAATAAACCAACCATTAAAATAAAGTACACATTACAAATACCGAAGATATTGGAACTAAAGTAAGATTATTAATTCCTGTCAGTAAAATGACATATCCAGTGTTGCAGGTTTTTAGTCCCAAATAAATAGTGATATGGTAGAATCGAATTTTTACAATTAAAAGTTAATCGAGATTACATTTTTTTTGTTCAATATCAAATTGCCTTATATAAATAAAAATTCTAGTGTTAATTCCTCTGAATCTCTTCATAATTTTTTTCCCAGCTTTTGTAATAATATTGTAGTGAAAAATTTGTTGTAATGAAAATCGTATTATTTAATACGGTATGTATTAAATATTTAAAATTAAAAAAAACGCTTGGATACCTAATAAAATAAAGCATGACTAAATGTCTAAGTCTATTGATTGCCGAACATCACTATTGTAGCGGTCACTCTTTTTTGTATCAGTGACAGTTGCACTTGTCAATTTACTGACTGAAATTAATAATCGTACTTTAGATAGAAATCTGGGGATATACAAAATGTATTGTATAACCCTAGTAAATGTAGAAAACTATTTTACAGAAAATCACACTTCAATCGAAATCTTAAGTACAATTTTCTCAACATTATGTATCTCTCAACTTACTCAACATTGTGCAGCAGAAAATATACAATAAAGAACAATACCTGGCATAGCAGTCATTGTAGACATTTGTTGTGGAATCATCGGCCTTATAATTGACATCTGCTGCGGTAGTCCAACGCCCAATATGAATGTATTCATATTGTTCATGGGATTCGGTTGCCAGTGGTTTGCTGCTGTTAAGTAAATAAATCAGAAATAGAAATAAAACCCATGAATATTCAATAAGTATTGAAAAAGTCTCTCCTCTATTAAGTAAGTCATTAACCTACAAATAGTGTAATTGTAATATTTGTGGAAGAATTTAATAAAATCGCTGAAATATTAATTAACGAGAAGCGTCACAGGACAATATGGCAATTATCATTCGGCATACTCGTGAACGGGTGCTGCAAGTTCTGTTCGGGTTACAAACACTGACTAGACTATTTGCTTTTGACTTTTGATTTCACAAAATTGCTATTGCAATTTTGTGAATGGCAATATAATCCAAATTTGAATTTTAAAATGAATCTGTATTATTGTAAACATGTACATTGTACAACCATATTTAAATAGAATACGAGCTGAGTTTCTTGTCAATTCTTCTGATCTCGAAAGTAATTCTCGAAGGTATTCTGACGGTAGATAGTCATGACATACCATAAGTCTGTAATAGACCTACATAAATATATTTTGATTTGATTTGATCACTACCCCCAACATCTAACACTTGGTGGTACATAGTACTTAAGGCAAAGCCATATTTTTTAAAGGACTAGAGGAAAGAGATAAAAATATTCAAATAAATTGACTGTTAAATGTAAACCATTGCCCACTGGTTAAATTATAACAATATCACACATACCTGCTGCGGTCGTGACTGTTGAAGATATTTGTGCAGGTGCAGCGCTTGTAGTTTGCCGCCGTCGTGATGTCCGCGGCGATGAACAATGGTGTTTATGAGTGCTGGCCTCGGAGTCCAAATGTTTTGAGCGCTTTACACCATGACGCTGGAATGTTAGTATATCTCGTTACAATCTTTATGACAGATTAACTACCAGACCAGAACTAAAAAAATTAAAAGTTGTCAAACATTGTAGGGTCTGGATATTCTCAATTATGTACATAAAACATATAGTGTTGATTTCTCGTTAACATAATCTATTTAACCTATCAGGGATCTCCCTGTTAGGTTATGGGAATTCCCATTTAAAATTTATTGAAAATGTAATGTTTTAGATTATTTAACTATAATTATGTACCTATTGTATTTGACGGCTTCGCCTCACACCCTCTTACTTCTGACTGTCAGGGATTCGATTTAATCAAAGTAAGTAGTAAAAGTAGTAAAAAAGTAGGTAAATATGATTGTTTCTATTAGGCTTTGATTTTTTATGTATGTGCGAAAAACTATGTATTATAGTTATATATTTGTAACAGTGACACAAGCTCTTCTTAGTGAGTCTAGATGGCGCTATGAATTGTCCGCAGTAGCGACCCATCTCAACTTTATATAATTGTGTAGAGTATGTTATGGATTGTATGTGAGTATTTATTAGAGCTATTATACCTTACGGAGGAAATTCTCGAACCAATAAATGTAAAGGTATCAAAATCCCTTGCAGTATTTAGAAGAAATAAACGGAGACACACAAACAGACTAAGACTTAAATTTACAGGTAGATACTGTTAATATTTATAAATATATGTCCTAAATTGAAATATTTATTGAGTGTAAGGTTCCTTCACACTCTTATATAGGATAGATTATTAAATATTAAATGAATATAACGTAATAAGATTAAAATCATACTAATGAGGTTACTCACATTTTGGTCAGACTTTCGTGAGCGCTATCGTAAAGGGGAAAAAATTATTATGTTCATCAAAAATATAGGCGTAAATTTTCAAAGGGGGAACTAATAAATGAATCATTGCTGCTGTGATTTTTTAACAATCCTCAATACTGACTTACTTATATTAAGCTGATTTTTACTATTATTAGTATAAGCGTTTTATTTAAGCCGACACGGAAAATGTTTCTATCTACTGCATGGTTAATTTATCTTTTAATATGTTTTAGTTACAATTTAGAAAAATTACCACTTTGCCGTTTAAGGTTCAAAATTTCGAGCTGAATCTGTCAAGAACAGATCATAGTACAAATACTCGATATAAAGACTGTGGCTGCCAACAAGGTGGGGATGTGAGATTTAGCATAGCTTCATTCCCCTCTCAACTGCTCCTCTGTATAGAAACTGACTCTCTTTTTTTATTTTATATGTACCACCATCCATTTTTACTCAAAAGCTCTTATGGGATTGGCAAAAGAACTACACCAAAATATAGAGAACACTTCACACCCAATCTTCAGGAGACTATTAATACTTGTTCTATTTGATTACAATAGGTCTGTATACCTCACCTTATTCCGGCAACTATTCTAATTGTATTTGAAAACAACTAAAATATAAATACCGCTGGCTCGGTGACTGTTGTAGTGCCAGCAGTGGTTGGTTGGAAACTCGCATTGCATCTGGCGAGATGTTCTTTCTTCTTCTTTCTTGTTTCCTTAGAAGCCTTTTCTCGCTCACCTTTGGTACTAGAACTAGTTTCGCGGTGATTTTTTATTAATTCCTTCTCCATTTCTAGGTTGTGCCTGAAAAATTATTATTGAATAATTAATTTTGATCCATTTACTATGGTAAGAAAACTAAAATGTTCTTATATGAACACTGTAATAGTTATGTACTGAACTAAAGTGCTATTTATTTGCAATATCAGCCTAGGCCTAACCAAGTGAACATATTTTTTTTATTTTGGTAGCTACATATGATAAGTAGGTAAGTATGTAGTTTAATTTCTCATAATAAAGGGTATTTGTACTAATTGTGATAGCAATTGTCTAAAAATAATCTAAAAATACTTTATTTTTTCAGTTTATGTGCAAGAGACCAATTTTGAAAAATGCGAATTTACATATAACGTCAGGCCAAGCTTTTCTTCCTTATTTATACTCGCATAAAACAATAAAATAAACTAATCTTCAAAGTAAATCTTTGTGTGGCTATTTATATATCTGACTATTTATATACTCCGGCGAAGGAAACACTGATATATAATACAATAAATGTATTGTTACAAACTATGAAAATTATTAAATAATATGTAACAGCAACGCACTTGTTGATAATAGCCTCGGTGAGTCGCACTGGTTGGTAACCTCCCAATATAGAGACACAGTTTGTCGTCAAATCTACGCTGCTTCCACACGAACTTGTCATCTCGACAGAATCTCCAGAAGCTGTCGCCATTGGGGACATGCAGCTAGAAATACAAAACGTATATATTATTGGGACGTTTCAGAAATGAGTTGATTTGATGCAGTACTTGATTTCTATTTCTCTTTCAAATTACACTCCACATAAATTACGGCAACCGAGACGACCAGACGTGAAATACAGTTCCACGTCTGGTCGTCTCAGTTGCCTCGAACAGAAAAGAGGGCCACTCTCTTTCTCTTACCCATTTAAATACCCTATGCGTATTATTGCGAGCACGGCGCTGGCGCCACGAATTATTCATGACATACAAATGATTATTCTAAATTTATATATTGAAGCTGTTAACAGACAAACCTTTTCTTTTTTACAAGTTTTGACCTTTTTTTACAAATTTTACTTTTTTTAATGACTTAATTATTTTATGGTTTCGCTATTATTTTTTTAGTCTTTTGCACTATTGTCAGTTATCCAGTATTACTCCCATCGCGAATAGTAAGAATTCCGGTATCTATTACGACTGCAGCATGAGTCCAAAATGATTAATTACGTACATACTGATCCTGTACAAGATGAGTGTTTTTATGATTGGCTCACAAATGTAGTGCACATTTATATAGTATATACATTTATTTCAAACTAATACGTTCCTTTTTACTGCAGAAAGAAATAGACTAAAGACTGTGAAATCTCGTATATTATTTATACTGTATTTCATACACACCTTGTAACATGATTTGAATCTTTGGAACTCGAAATGTATCCGCCGGGTCCCGAATTATAATCATCATGATAATATGGCTGATGACTATCGAAATATCTGTAAGACAAACAAAATTAAATGCTACAATTTTACATACCATGAATGATACTCAAGACATCAATACAAGGAATAGACTAATTATAAAAATAAACAGAGGCAAAACACACCTAGCGTTAACTAGCCTCAAACTATATATGTATGGGTGCTAAACATCCTATAGTATACAATGTATATACTTAATAAAGTAATCAAACTCATAACTACAAAATTTTGTATCGTGAAAATGATGCGTGGCCATCGAATGGCACAGGATCGTTCAATAGTCACGAGTTTGATTCCCGCACAGTATAAACATTCGTGTCGTGTTGATTGTATTGTTATTGCTGTAATTGGTTATGTATCAGTTTTAACGGCAACGCGTATTCGACAGACTTGGTGCCTCAGGCGTCCTTAGGCTACGGTAACTATTTACAATCAGATGGGGCGTATGCTAATCTGCCACAAGCGTAATATAAAAAAAAAGTTACATTTAAGTTTCAAGCTGTGTTTTTACTTTAATATTTGCGTTTAATGTATTCATACTTATTTATTTCACGGAACTATTAGTACGAGATCCCGCTGCAGATTCAGTGTACCCATCGAGTGTTTGCTGAAAACCAAATTTTTGCACATATTTATCATTAGGAGAATTTATATCTACCAGGTTGCCTATCAAAATGTGGCCGCTAGTATTTTTAATTAAATTATTAATAATTCATAATCCGTAAGAAATTTCATTGACTTGTTTTTTCAGTAAAATGTCGTTCACTTTACGGCAACATCTATAAAGACTGTGAAAAATCATGGTTGCCGTTGCGCACCTGGTCGCACCTCTTCGCAGCCAGGTGTCTCTTCGCAACCCTTATTTGCGGCCAGATTTAATTAGGCAACCGTATATGATAATTGATAATAAACAGAAAAAAATTAGCTTTAATTTGATATATAAATTATGAATGTACGTTGTGGGTGTATAAATGTAATAAAATCATACCTGTGTACACCTGGCTGCGAAGAGGTGCGACCAGGTGCGCAACGGCAACCATGATTTTTCACAGTCTTTATAGATGTTGCCGTAAAGTGAACGACATTTTACTGAAAAAACAAGTCAATGAAATTTCTTACGGATTATGAATTATTAATAATTTAATTAAAAATACTAGCGGCCACATTTTGATAGGCAACCTGGTAGATATAAATTCTCCTAATGATAAATATGTGTAAAAATTTGGTTTTCAGCAAACACTCGATGGGTACACTGATTCTGCAGCGGGATCTCGGACTATATAACCAGATACCTTTGAAGATTTTCATTATAATTGAGCTGGTTATAACTAAGCGGCGTCTCGGTACTGGATCGGCTGTCATAATTGTCGTGGTGAGGCGATATGCCCCCGAGCATCACTGAATCTCGTTCCTGAATAATAGAAACTAACAGTTAGCACAGGTAATTGAGTAAAAATTATGAACAACTCGAAATTATAGCCTTTGCAATCAACCATATAATGATTTATATATAGACTACTATTTCCATTCAATATTTTTAAATCCGCAAATTTAGAGTGTTAATGTTTCATATATAGGACCCAATGTAAAGGGTGAAGTTAAATTAATTATTTATATTATCTCATAACTCACATAGTAGCTATTATCCGGGTCCTGTATTTTCAGTCGTAATTCTTCCTCGGTTTTAGGCTGTTCTTCCATAAGATTTTCCATAAAGGAGGCAAGATCTTGACAACGTTTACTCATTTGTTGTTTAGCTACCTCAGCAGGTTTTGTAAGTACCTGAAATTAAATTATAACTAATATAAACATTGTCCTTATTAAATTTTGATAAAATGTTCAATAAAAAATTGAGTGTTTATTTAATGTATAGTAAACACAATGTACACCGATAAAAATGGATGGATAGAAATTTTTAATTTATTTTAAACATTGTAATTTAATTTAATTTTTATATAAATGTGATTTACTTACTTCGTTTAAGATTCTGATAATACTTTCTCTTAATGCTTGTGACTTAATCTTTTCCTCTTCAGTTAACTTCAGAACTTTGTCTGCTTCCAGTGTGTGGAAGACATCCGGATTGGATGGGCCCTGCGAGAACATAACCCTTATAATGAGACAATCGCCTGTAACATGTCATTCTTACCAAAATATACATAGGTACATATCTCAACCTAAATAATAAACATACTACATAATATTATTTATATTTCTAAATACCGCATTTGTAAATTATTGTTCATCCCAAACGTTACCAGGTAGAAAATGTTTTAAGCATTTTGTTTGCCTTTTGTATCTTATTTTATTTTCGAAATAAAGGTTTTAAGTCATGTAATACATAAACAGATGCGGTTAATTTTACGATTTTGTTATAAGTATGTTGTCGAAACTAAAAAGAACTTCATATTATTAGTAGTAATAAATGAAATGTCATGAACAAATCCGTTCATTTCAGTCACTACTCAATAGCAAGTTTTGTATATTGGCTGAAATAGCTTTCACAATAACATGTCAGCAGTTTGATATAAAATAAAATAAATGTAAAATAAAACTTATAAATTTTACGAACAACATTTCGGTATTTACCTCGATTATATAATTCTTGGCATTGACAAATTCCAGTTTCCTAGACCAGGGATTGATGAATGATGACCATTCTGTTTCAATTTTTATATAGTCACCACTGTAAGTCATAATTCTGAAAATAAATGTAATGTATAATATATGATACAATAAATACAGTGGTATGCAATAATTGGTGACACGCTGATAATCCCGAATACCTATAATCGGTATTTGTATTTATAGTACATAAATTTACTTCTACTTACACTCCCTAAACTGGTATGTAATCATAGGGAATCTATTGGCGCACTGGTATGGTGGCTAATTTTATGACGCAAATCGATAGACAAACGACGGCCCACTTGTTTAAGTGGTAACCGTCGCTTATATACTTGAGCAGGACTATCAAAATGGCATTATCATGTGATGCTCTCGATACCGCGCATGCTTTGCTATTCCGAAGGACTATGATGTCTGCCCTTTATATCTTAAAATCAACGCCTTATCTGACCCTTCCAACGAACTAGAGAAACTGATTGACGGTTGAAAGAGATGTGATTGTGATACCTATGTGGGTACCTTTTTTTTTAACTTGGAGAAAATGCCTCATGGAGAACCCGCCTCGCCCCGGGGGAAGCAAGTGGGTACTGTGAGACTCCTACTCACTAATAACTCCAAGGTATCCCGACGAAGCGCCTATTGCCGGAGTCGCGGGATCGAATGTCAGTCCTTCGATCGAAGGTTAACACTTATTGAGACGGCTTATTTGTTGTGCCAATTACAAAACAAAAATCTGATTAAATTACTAACCTGTATGATTTAGATCGCGGCACTGCGCCCTGTTTCACGATCATTTCATAAACATGGCGTAAATAGCCTAAATCTTCGGGGTGGTACAGAAGCAATGCGTCCTTACTCGCCAAATCCTGAGGCAAGTAGCCAAGATACGGAACAGACTCTGGGTCAATATACTCTATGTAACCGTCTGCGGCATGACGCAATACGAAAGGGACCGCTTTGGATACCGTTTCGTTTGGTACTGAAATGAAATATCATTTTTTATTTAGACTCTGAATAAAATACTGAACATTACAGTGAACACGCGCATTTTAAAAGTGAACTAAATTAGTTCCCTATAAAGACGTAATAACACAGGACAATTCACACAGCGCTTTTTATACACATAGTCGTACTCATCAATATATAAACCTCTAAACTTAAAAATAAAGGAAGTAAAGCGATGTGCTAAACCGCTAAACTACCGATTCCTCCATTATTGATATCTGATTAGTATTAATTATACAAAATTACTATTACTAGTAAGAAAATGGAATTAACGTTCATTCAATTCATAAATTATCAAAAAAGACAAAGTTGACTTTACAAAATGGAAGGTGTTAAATTAGTATAATATTACCCCCTTATAAACGATTGAAAATAGTCACAAGTATAGTATAAGTTTTAAACTTGACTGCTAATATGTTCTTTTTTCAAAATATTATTAAAAATTTGAAAAAAAAATAGGATCTTAAATAAACTGAAACAACTGTAATATATGCGTAATTCTTGTACTTTTTACCTTTGAAAGCTGAGATAAAAGGAGTTGCTCGTATCACCAGGTAAATAACTTTGCCATCCTTTTCGTTTATGTTTTTGAATGTGAGTTTGAGTAAAAATGGCATAAACTTCACACCGTACTCTTTGACACCAAATCCAGAATTCAGTCCTCTGTATTTACGTATCCGGCACACAATCGTCGACACGGAATTTGCTGGTGACTGAACTGAAAGATAAGATTCATCACAAAATTTATTTATGTTATAAACACCTTAACTAAATTACTAGTTACAATAAACGACCAGGTAATTACTTGAAATTCTCTGTAGAATAGTAATAGGCGAAACAAGAGTACAAGAATATTTGCAAATTTATACCTAAAGTGATGACGAAAATAAATATTAAACCGGCCAGACAAGCTAGCACCGACAAAAATGAATTCAACAATCCTATAGTTTAATATGTTTCTATTCATGAGTATAAAGAGACTTGTCTTCAAAGACTGGCTGATTTATCAACAGCCTACACAGAATCCTTTCACTACGTAGGCATCCAGTACTAAAAAATTCCGTGAATGGGAGCAGTAGATAAAGAGATAACGTGGGCGGATCCGCAGAAAACAGTCTGTCAACATACCGTGGAAGCCAATTCCACGCAGTATGTAATATAATGTGAATGTGAGTTGGCACAACAGATTATTTCAAGCAATATTTACCTTTTTCTTTACCGTTAGCTATTTTTGGAACCGCCAACCCACTTGTTATTTGAGATGCAAATGTATTCCGGTCCTGTAAATAATATTGCGCGTGAATGTCCTTGTATGTATACAGTAATAAGTAATTACATAATTTTCAATAAATTGTTAGAGCATAACACGGATTTATTTCCAGTAAATCAAATTTAATAAAAAAATAAATCCTTGCAAACATCAACGCCGCAAGACTTTTGATAGAGACGTATCAGATTCAAATAGTTCTCGATTATTTAATCAATGGTATTTGTCTTTTATGAAGAATTAATACATAAAGTACAAATATGCAAGTGCATCGTATATACATATGTACCAAAAAAATAACAATTCTGCTTAAAAATACTATAAGATTATTTTCTGATTAAAAAAAAATGTAAGTAGTATTTAGAGTATTGTGATTCGATATTTCTCGGCGAGATGCGGTTCTGTAACAGCATTTTATACAACTTATTATATTAGAATAGTGTTGGTTTAATAAAAAAAGAGAAAAATTCACCATTATGAAAAAAAATCAAAGAACCAGTAAACTTATTGTATAAAAAATATTAAAATGCAGTGATGGTATATTAAGTAACATAGACACAAAAATGCAGTTGTATTGAGAATATCATCTCTACAGTTACTTGTACAAACCCAACTAATTTTGAAGCTCTTACGCGTTATTTATATTTTAATGAAATAGATAAAATATTGCTAAAATAGAATCAAGATTAAGAGACAGGTTAGTAAAAACTGTGAATTCAGACCATTATTCTGAACCGAAAATCAATGGAAGTTCTTTCCGGAAAAATCTGTGTACACCAGTGTATAAGGCCAATTGTTAATTATATGGCTGTGATGTATTTCCGGTGGAAAAATTATCTGCCATCTATTCAGACGATTCATCTGAATCAGCTGTTTCACCTTTTTCTTAAATACTATTTTCTCATCTTGTATTTTTCTTAAATAAAATTATAACAAACGACTGTGCTTTTACAAATCAGTCCTCAACTTCAAAACTAAATATGGAAAAATTTAATAGTATATAATCGATGAACTCACTCTAGGATGTAGAAAATCTATGAATGATCTGCCTATCCACATGTCCTTTGGGAAACCAAGAGTGGCAGTGAGCGAAGATGTTGTGTACATAACAACTCCGTCATCCATCGATATAACACATGAGAATCCCTCCTGTAACAATAAAATACAAACTTTTAAAAAATACAAATTAATAGTTATTCTACCATATATCTGCATTTATTGGAACTGAACTTAACATAGAGGGAGGTGGGGGGTGAGGTTTGAGGTTTCTTAGTAATGGCACAAATGTTAATAATATTATAAACGCTAAAGTTTGGATGGAATGGATGTTTGTTACTCTTTCACGAAAAACTACTAAACGGATTACATTGGACATACATCAGAATAACACATAGGCTATATTTTAAAAGAAAAGAAAAAATATTTTGCTTACATCTATGTGTATATGTAACTGTATGTTAACCAATACGCGGTCTTCTCTGGCTAAACAACCTGACTTCAAGCTAATTCTATTTCCCATGACTGATGCTAGAGTAAACCATTAGCGTACTAATCCATTAAGAAAAAAATATTAAAAATAAATAATGAATATTAAATAATTATTTGAAATTGTTACGTACCGAAGAGGAGGAAGATGTTGATTTGCAGGACACCAAATTCATTACGTTGACAGTTGACATACTACAGGAAACAACCTGCAAAAATAAAGTTATAATTAAAGTGAAACAAATCATTTAGATAAATTATTTGTGATCCGAGTAAATAAGGTTGTTTAAAAAAGTCTTATTTATCAATACGCTGAATTTTTAATATAGAAATTCTTTTTACCTCTGCAAGACAATATGACTATAAGCAAAAACACAGCTGTTACAATGCTTGAGGAGTGACATGGCGGCACTATCATCTCCATGGCGGTATTTTAATCATCTCCGTAACATTCTTTGTTTTTTTGTTTCTTACTATAAATATTTGACTAATACAGTACAGAACCCCCTGTATGTATGTATATCATACATATTTCCGTAAAATTTATAATGTTCAATTTGTAACTAACCTCATCACTGACGCTGATTCTGTCTTGGACAGCTATCTCCATACTCTCTGGTCCATCTTTATCTTGTGCAAGTTGAGGCGCCGGTGTCTGGTCAACTGCACAACAAATTATAGACGGAAGATAAAGATGAACACACAAACACATCAAAATTAAAACTTAATCTGAAATAAAAGGCACATTTATCATAGAGACTAAAGCTAACAGTTAAATTACATAATATGTACATACCATTAATTCGGACAGTACCCAAAAATACATTACCTCATTGATAAATTTCTATCTTTGCCTCTTACCAAAACCCGCCGTAAAGTACCTATGTAAACACATAAGAAATACAACGGAAGCGAAGTTTGAATCTCCCTGGCCTTCTGTAACGATAATAATTTATAGAATGAATCTATACCTAACACAATTGAAAACCAATTAGTAGTGGTGATGACAATTTTTAATGATTTTTGTTTTTAATGTTGTCATATTGTGATTTAAGGAATCATAACAAATTATTAACTAATAACGAGTCAGTTGTAGCAGTAAAAATTAAGTTGTACAATTCATTCAATTAGCGTTCATTAGTTGATTCAAATTGCCATGATTGGCATCTATGAAGGAAGGTTCCTAATGGTATTAGTGGTAAATGTTATTATTATATAAAAATGTATCCTATTTTTGTCATTTATATCCCTATTGTTGTTGAGATTAGTGTACCCTACCATTATTGTTTAGTTTGGCGAGTTTCATTTAATGCGCGATGATATATAAAAGAGCTGTATGTTTAGTTAATAATCACTCGGAATGAGAAAGCTGGTAAAGTTACATATTTATATTAGATATTTTGTATATACAATATAATACAATCCTAAGAATATTAAGGTCGATGGATCTATACAAACCATTTGGATCTTGACAAAAATATTTTTAATTATTTAAAGAAATTCTACCTACTGGTGGTGTGAGTATGAGGCTAGAAGCTTCTAGGCTACCTTCATTAACACAAAAGTATTGCTCCCTGGCGTATAGAGTACACAATGATTATTTTTTAAATTGTATTATCACAGAAAATTAACAGAATTGAGGTACGACTTTTATTTGGAATCCTTAGCTAAGAAAATATTTGGTGATTTCCTTCATATCAATATTTTCGTAAAATAAGAAAATTGTAGACGACTTTAACTGTACGTACGTAGTAATATATATGCATAGGGAATAATGTTATACGCATAATAAGATTAATCAAACTTATGCAAAATACCACCTAACTAGTCAGTACGGCCTGGCTCCAAGAGTATAAATAAAAAAATAAACTAAGTATGTATAGTACTTACAAGAACTTTAAGTCGTGTTACATCGACGAAGACGTACACACCGTTGCTTATACTCGAATAATAATTATTACAACTATTCTATCTTAATATTATCTTATGTAGAATATAAAAATAATATTTTATTAACTACAATCTACACCTAATGTTTCAGTGCCCTCAATTAGTATTTGTTTTGGATACACAATCTCATATCGCAAATTTGTAATGTTATAAGAACTAAACAAATATCATACGCCAAGATTTGGATCTGGATACTCAGACTATTTTGCGATAGAAAATGTATTTACAAATCAATAGTATCTGATCTAATACAAAAACTGGTGAGAGCTGAAAATTCCGTCAATAAAAATATCGAAATTGTGCAACAAAAAATTAAATTCCTGTCTAGCCTTGCCTCATCTCAAACCAGCTTCTAAGCATTTTTTTAATCTATTACCTATTAACATGTTGGATATCTGTACTAATATTATAAAGTGATAGAGCGGATTTTACTGTAAGGAAATTAAACTACTAAACCACTGTACCGATTTAAGCATTTCTTTGACTGACTGAAAGTTACATTAGGGTGGAGTGACATATTACAATATCATATAATTATGTACAAGGAACTCACAAAATTATGGAACAGCCCATTTATAATGTGTAATAGAAAAAAAATGTTTTATACCTTCATATATTTTAAATATACGATAACAATTTTTCGCAAAACTGTCTGAGTCTCCCATAATGGTAAACCTAAAATAAAATCTTAAAAATACATATATTTGTAGACATATTAAAAAATACGTTAACAAGATACTTATTATGTTGCATTTATTGCAAGGACTTATTGTATTTAATCTATTTTATCAATAATTTAATTATTTACATTAAGATAATAACATATATAGTAGTGGTGGTACTTCATTTTGGCACTATATAATCCATTAAAAATTATATTGTATGAAATATTATGAATACTAAAATAAATGTTTATCTCTTAAACAGTATATGTCATTAATAAGATAATTAAAACATCACGCACCATCATTTGTTATTTCTTCTTGCGGTGTCTCGATGACTTGTACCGGTTCTACCGGCCTGCTTTCCTCTTCAGGTTGTGGTTGGGTTGGCACACTATCTACTTGAGCTTGTTTCTTCTTCTTAGGCTCTTTTTCTTTAGCTCTTTTTTCCGGTGGTTGATCACTATAGAAAAGCATTTTTTGTGTGGTTAGTTAGTTGCAGACGCAAGTAGTTAAACTAGTTTTAGAGTTGGCTTAATTAGTAACTACATACATAGCCATAGAGTGAAGGGGATTTTTAGTAATGTAGGCTTGGTCTATTGTTCACGATTTATACAAAATATGGAAGTTGTAATAGTGGTAATTTACATCAGATATTTCAATATACAAAAGAAATAACATACATTTTCATTTAGCGCTGGCCTCCTGCTACGTTGTATTAAAATATTAGAGCGAACGCAATATTTGACCAAGACAAATATTGTGTTCACCACAACAGTCAATACATTTGAATTACTATTTGTTTATACGTATATTTTATTTATTGTATTTAGTACAAAATTAAAATTAACCTGCTTCCAGATGTAGATGGTTTTCCGCCATAACCACTGCTCCCGCTTGAATTACTTCCAGAATGTGTAGACTTCGAACTGTGACTAAATAAAAAAAAAACAGTTAAAAATATCGACATTAACCACATTACTGGAGCAACCCGGCCGTAAAGCTTCTCGTTGATGGCTCCGCCTGTTGTAGAGACACGTGCGGAGCGAGTGCGGCTGTGTGTGGGCGACTGTCTCAGAGTTTCAAGTCTGTCGTCCTCACAACAGAAGTCGTGATGATGGGGTGAGGGCGCACCGCACCGTATTCCGGTAGGTCTGTGGTGAGGAAACTGCGAAGAAGTCCCCCACACTTTGAGGACCCGTTTGCGGGCCACTGCCGCGGAAGAATCCACGCGTTAAGAACCTGTTTGCGGGTCGATCGCGGTAGATTACCAACACGAAGAACTATCGCGGGGATTTTAGTGAGCAGGGCTATCAGAATACCCGCCCGACCAACCCCTGTGATGGACGGATCTCCAAGATAGATTTTTCCCCACGTAAATAAAAGAATAATTGATTAATTAATTGACTAAAAGCAACTTAATTATTCCCTGCTATGGCCTAACTTACCACATAAGTCGTAACTTACAAAATGGTGTGATTGATATTTTACCTCCTCCTGGACTGGCTGTTGCTGCAACTGTTGGAATACGCAGAGTCTGATATTTTTGCGTTATTTTCCGAGTCGTCTAAATTGTCCATCTTGTTAATTCTTCAGATTTACTGCAAATATACATATTACTATTAATATTATTTTTATATTTTATCATGAATATTTTGTTTTTAAGATACAAATGTGCATATTGCTGTTGTTATGCTAGACTCAGCATAACAAATTTACGGGAATAGTGTGAAATTAACCATAGGAAGTTCAGAACTGTTAGCCCACAAAGCCCTGGTACGGTAGCATATTAGCCTAGGTTTGTTTAATATATAAATATACAACAGATCACGTATCACATTATATACTGTGTAAACAAGATTTATAAGTCACTAACAAGATCTACGCGCACTTCATTCTACTATTCCGGACTTTATACAGTATTATATAATATAGTAATATTTCAAAACAATTCACACAGCGCCATCTAGGTCCAAGCTAAGCAGAGCTTGTGTTATAGTCAATAGACAACTGATATAAATACATATATATACTTTTTTTTGTAAATACATACTTAATATATATATATATGTATATATATAAAACACCCAGACCGATACCAACAATCATACTAATGAATATAAATGTTATACCATGCGAGGAATCGAACCCGCGACCATCGGACGTAAAGGTTTGCTAAACCGAACAAATAACAGGACAACTGCTTATTATCGAACTTATGATCCACAATGATGATATATTTTAGCTTTGTTGCAATTATATTTGTAGTAATTTTCCTAGATCACGAAGGTAGTTAATATACGCGATGACGTCAGCATTTATGTAATATTGATTTATCGGGACGATTTATTGCTGGAAAATTATATCTAATGATAATATTATTATACAAAATGTACCCGTAATAAAATTAAACGTCAGCGACCATTCTAGTCATCATCAAAACCATAATTACAGTTATATCTTCCCTAAAACTCTTTTATAACTGACCCGCTCACCTATATCTGCGACACATATTGGTCGTAGCGTTAAAAAAATCCTCTAGGCATGGAAAACACCCTAATGTATTGTACTAAATCATGTTATACACTAATTTGAAATATGTAGTGAATAATATTCACGATATGTAGTGTTCCTTTTATAACAAGATACAATAAATATTCAGCTAAGACTTTAACACTTGACTTTATACCAGTGCGGATGGCATAAACAAACAGTTTAGTATACACTATCACAGCACATTATAAAATACTAGATGTGCCCACGGTTTCACCCACAAATTTAACCCCAAATTTGTGTTATATGACGATTAAGCTATATTACTGTAAAGTTTCATCAAAATCTGTTCAACATCCATCTATTTATATTTCGCGTTTATTATATTAGCAAGATATAAATATATTCAATATGCAAATAACAATTTTAACTATGTTACAAGAAGATAGCCGCCTTAATAAATTAAATAATATCAGATACATAAGTAACCGAAATTATTTAATTTTCTAATAATACTAAATTTATTAGATAATGAAAACTATTCGCTTATTTTTAACTCTAGTTTAATACCACCGACACCTGCATCGTCCATATCTATTAGATATATATATATACTAGCTGTACCCGCGACTTCGTCCGCGTAATAATGAAAAAATATTTAACTCAATTAACACAATATAAGTCAAATAAATAAGTTTCATCATTTTAGCTTAAAAAATGATAAAAAATAAAAATAAATATTTAATCGATAGGCTAAAAAATAAATTTCAAGCTTCTAGCTTTAAACATGACGATACATCTATATGACCTTGGATCTACCATTTCAATCCTCTTGTAACCCTTTTTCACATTAAAAAGTAACCTATGTCCTTTCTTAGGATCTAGTCTATCTATGTCTGTTTCAAATTTCAATTTAAATCGGTTCAAACAGACAAAGTTACTTTCACATTTATATTAGGTGTACAACTTTGCTTCCGCCGTTTTGAAATAGATGGCTGTAGCGGTAAATGGTAGTCGAAATAAATAGATCGTAGATGTCATACAATAAGCTTAGGTATTTGTAAACATAACGCCATCGAAATATTAGTCGATTTATGTCTGCATCACAAAGTTATTCTCTACTAAACATGTCAGCTTACCAGCCAAATTCTCGTCATTTGCGGGAGGTTTTAATTTTCTGCTTTAATATGAACAAATCTGCGGCTGAGGCTTATCGAATGCTCTCTAATGCATATAATGAGCCAGCTATTAGTGAAAGAATGTGCCGAGAGTGGTTTCAACGCTTCAAGAACAATGATTTTGACGTCGAAGACCAGCATGGCGGTGACAGAGAGAAGGTTTTCGAAGATGCAGAATTGGAGATTTGATCAAGACTCGTGACAAACGCAACAAGAATTGGCAGGATCATTGGGAGTGATCAACAAGCCATTTTAAAACGCCTGAAAGTCATGGGAATGATTCAAAAACAAAGAGATTGGGTGCCGTATGAATTGAAGCCGAGAGATGTTGAACGGCGTTTGTTTGCTTGTGAACAGCTGCTTGCAAGGCAAAGACGGAAGGGATTTCTGCATCGCATTGTGACTGGGGACGAAAAATGGGTTCATTACGATAATCCTAAGCACAGAAAACCATGAGGATATCCCGGCCATGCTTCCAGGTCGACGGCCAAACCGAATATTTACGGTTCCAAGGCTATGCTCAGTATTTGATGGGATCAGCTCGGCGTAGTGCATTATGTGTTGTTATAACCGACTAAAACGATCACTGGCGATTGTTATCGAACGCAATTAATGCGTTTTAGCCGGGCATTAAAAGACAAACGGCCGCAATACAACCAGAGACATGATAAAGTGATTTTACAACCTGACAATACTCGACCCCATGTTGCGAAGTGGTCAAGACATACTTAGAAACGTTGAAATGGGAAATCCGACCCCACCCGCCGTATTCTCCAGACCTTGCTGCCTCAGACTATCACTTGCTTTGATCAATGGCACCCGGCCTGGCTGACCAGCACTTCCATTCTTACGAAAAAGTATAAAATTCGATCGATTCGTAGATCGCTTCAAAAGATGACCAGTTTTTTTCAACTCGGTATTCGTCCGCTGCCTGAAAGATGAGAGAAAGTAGTGGCCAGCGATGGACAATACTTTGAATTATAAATATACAACCAGTTTTTTACAATAAAGCCTCGAATTTCGGAAAAAAAACGGCGGAAGCAAAGTTGTACACCTAATATTATCAGTAAGGTAATTAATAAACTAACTCTAAAAAGACAAAGCAAAAAGTTTAATCGTTCTAGCTTCCACAACCACACAAACAGCAAATTTCCACAATAACTTTCATTCCCTATTTTATTTTACTAACCCCCCCCCCTCCCCCTAAGTGTAAAAATTTTACAAACATTGAATGTCATATTTATTGATATTTAAACAACAGGCTAAAAATGAGTCTCAAACTTCTAGTTTTAAAAAATGATGATTCTTCATACAGCGTACCATTGCAACCCCCTTACAATCCTTTTTTCACATTCAAAAGTACCCTATATTCTTTGTCCGGGTGTAAATCTACCCCAAAAGAACCAATGAAAATAGTTTTATTGTTCTAGTTTCAAAAATTACGAATTTACATAATAACTATTATCCCCTATTTTATTTTACCCCCTTAAGGATAATTTTTATACAAACAATGAATGTCATATTTATTTATATTTAATCAACAGCCTCAAAAATAAGTTTCAAGCTTCTAGCTTCAAAAATGACGATTTTACATAAAAACTTTCATCCCCTATTTTATATTGCCCCCTTAAGGGTAATTTTTTTACAAACAATGAATGTCATATTTATTTATATTTAATCAACAGCCTCAAAAATAAGTTTCAAGCTTCTAGCTTCAAAAATGACGATTTTACATAAAAACTTTCATCCCCTATTTTATTTTGCCCCCTTAAGGGTAATTTTTTTACAAACAATGAATGTCATATTTATTTATATTTAATCAACAGCCTCAAAAATAAGTTTCAAGCCTCTAGCTTAAAAAATGACGAATTTACACAAAAACTTGCATCCCCTATTTTATTTTACCCCCTTAAGGGTAATTTTTTTACAAACAATGAATGTCATATGTATTTATATTTAATCAACAGTCTCAACAATAAGTTTCAAGCTTCTAGCTTCAAAAATGACGAATTTACATAAAAACTTGCATCCCCTATTTTACTTTACCCCCTTAACGGTATTTTTTTACAAACATTGAATGTCATTTTTATTTATATTTAATCAACAGCCTCAAAAATAAGTTTCAAGCTTCTAGCTTTAAAAATGACGATTCTTCCATATAATCTTTCATCCCTTTTTTCGCATTAAAAAGTAGCCTATGTCCGTTCTCAGGGTCTAGACTATCTGTATATCAAATTTCATTCAAATCGGTTCAGTAGTTTTGGCGTGAAAGCGAGACAGACAGACAGAGTTACTTTCGCATTTATAATATTAGTTTTTGTCGCAGCACAAAAATATATTTTTATCGTTTCCGTACAAATAGTAATTTTACAGTATTAATCTACAAACCAACATTTTGTTTCTTACAATCAGCTAAATAATTTAAATAGTTTCATAATATATGACACAATGAAAAGGTCATTTATTTTATAAAAAAGACAGTTAGTTTTTATTTTAGTGAAAAATAAGAAAATGCTATTTTGATACAACAACCATATATTTATTAATACCTATACTTTATTAATTTTGTGTTAATGCTTTTTAAATAAACACCCACACATTATTTCTCTATAACCTACAAAAATGGGTAAATAATTTAATTTCGGATAGTGCCACACCACAACATTCTTTAAAAAATGTAAATAATAAAATGTGAAGAAATTGTGATTGTTATTAAGTTTTTTTTTAATAAGTTCGTCAGAACAGAGAAACGACATTTGACATTTATTATTATTTGACATTGACTTTAATTTTTGTAATTTATATTGTAAAACTTTAAGTTGGGCTAAACAGGACTTGTATCCAGAGCCGTAAAACAAATTAATAAAAAAAAATCGTCCAAATTTGTCTCGCAATCGGCCAATTTCAGGTTTAAAGAGAAAACA